TAGTTTTGAAGCCATACCTGATGTTCATTATAAAACATGTTTTTAATTTCAGCATGTTGCATATAATTTCCCTCTTGTATAGGAATAGTCTCTTTTCAATAAAAAGCTTTGAATTGTCTCTCTCCTAGCATTGCCACTAATAGATGGAAGGTTTACATATGTAAGAGACAGTCAAATTCAGGAGTCTTTCCAATGTGCTTTTGAAAAATTTAATGTGCTGTCACAGCAGCTCTATGTTAAGTTGTAGTTTCTTACTATTTGGCACAGTTATCAGAACATTTTCTCCAGTTCACAGGCTTCTGGATCTACTCTTGTGCTGCTCTTGGCAAGAAAAAAGAATGCTGTGATGAATTGGAAGTCTACCGGAAGCGTGTCTTCTAAAATCAATCTAACTGCTAGTTAACTGCTCAAGAGTCAATAGGAAGTAAAGGTTGGTTAATGGATAATGTCAGAAGGCTCTGGCATTAGCTCTGAACCCAGATGTCTCTTACATGGGTGTTGTCTTTCATTAAGGGTAAACTTACACAATCATTTTTGACAGGAAAATGCCACCGTCTAGTGCATATTTACTAATATTCTCTCTAGATTTCTTGTAAATGCTTACTTTGAGCTAAACTTTTTAGTGGTAACCAAAACTGAGCTTACAAGAGTATGCATAAGAAGACATATCTACTGGGAACTCCATGGGGGTTTATGTTCACAGAAGTTAGCATTTCTCATCCATCTAGATTTAAACTTCCCTGGACTTTATATTGTGAGTGGAGTAGTTGGAATCTTTCAAAAACATCTATTACCCATCTGATCAGACATTTCCTCATGCAGATAACTATGCAATCTATAGTTGGATCAAGACACACACCATTACCTGTACATCAGCAATAGTTAATTGCAGTGACCTACTTCACAAGGTTGGGAAGCATGATGGCTCCAAAAGACTATTTTTTTTTAAAAAAAAATGAAATGCTTTAAAGTGACTAAAGATACAAGAGAGGATGGCTATTAAATACCTATGTGTTATTTTTGAGGCATGTTGGATTTATTTGTAATCTTGGCAAACATGTTTTCAAAAATCTGACATAGAGGCTGAGATCTTTTTTGAAGCTTGCAAAATAACAAGTTCCACCAGCTTACTTATTCTGAAGTCCAGGAGGTCAAAGTGAAGGGATGCTTGTGAACAGAGAAAGCAAAGGAGGTCAGCTGGATGGCAGCACAAGGGAATTGGAGGGCAAAGCTGTCATCAGGTGCTGTCCAGTAGCCAATGTGGTGCCTGGCAAAAATGTTGCATAAGGAGATAATCAGTACCTCCTTTCACAACACTGGAAAAAGTATTACACTGATACAGTTATTCCTGCTTGTTGAGTT